AAAGCGTACCAACTGTTCACTCAAGCGATTCTGCAAGGAGGGTAGTTGAGTGGATGCCCTCCGCAAAAAGTGGTTCCGACATCGCACTATACAAATTTTGGTTATCCCTAAACCCTTTAGCCAATTCCTTGCAAGAATTGAATTGCTTGAAAAAGAACCAGAAGAACTTTCTACATCTTCAACGTATTTCCACAAGTGAAGGAGGCCGCCCAAGTGCTTCGCGTTAGTCATGATCCCGTTGTTTGAAACCACCCAGGGAGTCCGAAGTCGCTCACTCCTACACAAGAAATCATGTAAGGGGCAAGAGTTTCCTGGATTTGAAAGGTACTCAACCTTCAACTAGGCTCTATCACAGTAAAAAGGTTCGAGGCGAAAACTAAAGGGGAGATATCGACGATGAGAGTTGCCGTTGTCATTCGTAATACTACTACTATCGAACAGAGTCCACCTCATCCAAAAATGTACGAATCAACCTCCAGCAAGGATAATCGAAACACAGAATATCAACCCACAACAAGTGGTCCTAATTCGTCTCCTGAATTCCTTCCATTGGCGACGCGAACCAGTATCTTGCTAAATGCGAACAAGCCCAGAAATCACACCTTAAATACCCCGCTCAAGAATTTTCAAATGGACAAACCTACCCGTCCTTTTCTGCAATTTCCCATACAGCTCTCTCTTTTCGTAGATTTCCATGTTCCTCTTCTAATAATAAATACTTCATGAATTTCCAAAGCTACGATTCATGGAAAAGAGATTGTTACGCAGAGATTTGAATATATGATTCCCAAGTCTTTACGATAGGTCGTTTGTGGATTATATTCTAATTCTCTCTTTCTGATTCGAATTGAGAAATTGGAGCTGTACTCTAAAGTTTACCATACCTCTTGCCCGATACATATCATTCAGCAAAACTCAAGAATCAAGAACCAAAATGACAGTGAAACATAAATGAAATTGAAAAGACAACAACACCATACCTAGACTATATCAACAATCAACCACGGCTTCAAAATGTATGATTAGAAAGAATTTGCCCCAAGGCTCTGTGATGAATTATTCTCCCCAATCGGCGATATCCTAACAGAATTTGTGAGATCGAGAAGCCTATGTTTCTTGTGTTTGATACTTGTTATCGTTTTCCTAGTTTACGCATATGCTAACTACGTCTCCTCCTTGAATATTCCCTCGTGAAAGTTATATCTGACAAGAGACACTTCTGTGAGTGAGGGATATCCTTCGGATCTCCTCTCTGAAAAAAATCCTCGATAACAATTCAAAAAGCTCATTAGATGAAGCAATCATTTTCAACTACTCGATACCTAGGTAGCTTCCCCGCTTGAAACATTGATGATGTCATTGTGAAAATAGACCATTTACTTGCAAAATTGTAGCTGCTGCAAGGGTAAGAAATGAAATGAATGGATGGAATTAACATGATCCAGGTAAGAAAGATCGATATTCGGACAGAAGTAGATAGGAGAGATGGCGAAGGTGAGCTTTTATCACGAGGCATCTTGGCTGCAGTATCAAGCATCTCCAAGTCCGATGATAGCCATATGAAACGATAGACTTATATAACAATGCAAAGGTATATTCTATTAGTCAAATCGCTACCCGATTCAACAGTGGTATGATGTTTTGTAGAATCCGCAACTAGATCGAAAAGGTCGTTTTATATACCAAACAGTTTACGCCTCCACCACCACTACCACCAATTTAATCGGTACTTAATCTCCATAATCCATCTCCCAAATAATGTGCATCTTCCACCACGGGACCCTTTCCCTTCTCCTTGACATCCTTCGTTCCCATGCTCAAAAGTCCCACCGCGCAAGCCTCCTCCTTGCCTTCTGCACAGATAACAACTGGTTCGCCAGTTTCCAATTCTCTTCCTCCATACCATCCTTCTCCCTCTCCAGTCTCTCCATATACACCTTCTTCTTCCTTATTTCCATTGGGTAATCTGCCACCTGTAGATGTGAGACCTGGAGCCATTAGGGTAGCTCCCGAAAGAACGAATCGAATAGCGCCGCGATCAATACGCAGACTTGGGAAGCAGGTAGGGAATCGGTGAACGAGTTTGAGATGGGGTAGGAGAGCATCGGTCATGTGTTGAAAGAATAGAGGTGTAGCGCCGATTAAGTAGAGAGTTACTCTATCTGGACTATATTCTCAACGTTAGTATTGATTTTTTTATTGAGCCGTCATGCGATAAAGAGATATGCCGCAGTGAAGATATAAGAGCAAGAAGAGTAATAGGAGCGCACATTTTCATAGCATCGAGCTGCTCTTTCTTTGGTATTATCTCATCGATATGAGGGGCTAATAACGGATATGTGTTGACGAGTTGAGTTCTGATGGCGCGTTGAACAGAGGACTTAACCTTGCTTTTTGAGCCGGGAGATATACTGTAGAAACACTGTAATCAGCATTTATAGATCATTGGATTCACAAAAATAGGATCAGTAAGTCTTACTCTTTCTTAAACATCTTGAATATGATTCTGGTAGTATTGTGATGTTAGTGACGAGGGGAAGATTTGTTTAAGACGTGCATGTGGATAATATGCCCCGCGATACGGCAGTCGATTAAGACCCAAAACGCACGGACTAAGGAGGAGGGGTAATTTGGAGGCTGATGAGGGGTCTACGAATTGCAAGATACCTAGGGTGATCAGACGATCACAACATGAGGTTATTCGGACATCAAGCACGCAAGTGAGGTAGGTATCGCATTCAAACTCGGTTTTGTATAACATATTTACGTCTTCTCATAAAAGTTCATTAAAATTCATCAAATCAAATACATCCTGGGAACTTGAAACGCTCAAGAAGCTCCTCCCCAAATCATTAAGCCTTTCCTCCATCTTCCTATTGGTGGTTGACATGCGAAACAGTTCCATCTTCATTCAGATGGATATTGAGTCTATATATAGAGTTAGTGATGAAGATTCTGGAAAGTAAGTACTGGTTGCGAGTGCTGACCTGTTCTCCTTGAAGTCCTTGGTAACCATCGAACCAGGCTCAATGATTCTGTGCTCTTCGGGAAGATCTTGCTTTGCGAATGTCTATCGATGAGTGGAATGTTAGTAGACGACATGATTATTGTTTGACTATAAAACGACCAACGTACAGTCTCATTACTGGAGTCACCGATCTTCTTTCCAGCCAATTTGCTCATCCATACTTGGGTCTTGTCTTCGCCACCGGCAGCACTGTTGGTAACTGGATCGACGAGAGGCATTTTGGAATATGGGTTTGATGAAAAGTGTTTGATTTTTGATGTTGGTGATATTACTTGAAAGTTTCTTCTTGGATGAGATTGAAAGTGTTTGTTTGATAAAGATCATGAATAGAACAGCGGAAGAAGAGGGTCTTTATGTTCGCTGAACTTCCAACCAAGCCTTCTTTTTGTAACACATTCCCTAAACAAGGCTGCCGCGGTTCATCTCACCTGCTGAATTCAGATGCGTACGTCATAGCCAAGTTATCATGTGATTTTACCTGCACGTGATACATTGCTTTCAATTCAAGTTCTTAGTTTGCAAACTTTCGCGAACTGCCCCTTCATTTCGATGTTCCTCACCCATCCATCCATCCACCCTATTCCTTTTCCTTTTCATTTCTTCATACATTTTTTTCATCCAGGGCGAGAGTCCATTCTTATAGTAGATCCATTCCATTCCATTTCTATTTACACTTTTTACTTTGAATTAACTCTATTAATTTCTCTAGAAACTTTTCGGTCCCGCAAAGCCATACCCGAATTGTTGCTGTGCATAACAGTTCATTTCTCATGGCAATCTTAGGTACCATAGCGGTTATATGTACTGCCACAGCAATGGCCCTACAGTTTGGCATCAATAGTCAGTTCGGTACATTTTCGTTGTGGACCCAATAAACGTTTCGACAGTGTCAGTGACACTGAGAATTCAGGACCAATTTACAACCATTATTATCTTACCCATCACCTAAAACGCATTGGAGCTTTGAAGTCTTTAGTTGCTCCCAATCTTTCAACGTCCGACAGGTCCGACTGGATCTATATGATGAATCTGATTTACTTCTACTCGCTGACTCGTCACCAGATGCGCAGTGAGTTGGGGACCGCGACTAGTGAAGCAGCTTTGTATCCACTATGTATGCTAACTTTAACTAACTTTTCACATCAATTACGCTATCCTCTACGCGTCCTCTCCAATCTTCATACATTTTTTTGGTAAAAAAAGAAGAATCTTTACATCCCGAAATATTACCCGTTGCAACGAGTAATAATAAGTGTTAGCTCGTTTTGTTTGCTTTTATCACAAGTGCACCGTTGTGTATCCGTAATGCAGTTATCCCGTACAGTTGTACCATTGTATGTGTGTACAAGGGGAAAAAAAGAGACAGCACATTCTTGTCAGCAGCAAAATCCTTCGAATACCCCATGTCAGGCTCTTTTTAATGGGTTAATTGTTGCTGCTGTAATACTTTGCGCAAACCATCCAGATACTGCTTTTGACGTTATCTCGGAGATGTTGAAGAACCTTAAACATTCATGGCCCCCCATGGGTAGCTCCGAATGCTTACTTACAAGGCTGTCCCTTTAATCCCCCACATATTGACGTTTGATTGTTCAACGTAAGTATAATTGACAAGGGAAATGATGCTAAGCCCCTCATAATATCAGTCCAGCCTTGAACGAGTTGAAGCTTCAAAGCTACGCCTCGCCGCCTCGGAGCTTAAAATTAAGTTCACGGTAATTGTAGGGAAGTTATTCAGTGCCCAGCTTTGAAACCCCTTGACAAGCATTTTTTTCTTCTTTACATTTATCTATTGCTTATATCCCCCACCATCTTTATATTCACTCGTGTAGTTTATTCTGGTCAAACTCTTATTCATCCCTTGATCCTTCCATCCGTTTTATTGTTACTCAATATCAGTTGAGAAAACTCTAGTATTTCTCTCACAACGACCCTTCAAAGCACCTCTACCATCTTTTGACAAGATTCAAACATGCGTCCAATCCTACTTTCCTTATTGGCGTCTTCAACAGCTATCGCCTCTGCCTATCAACCTCTGATGTCAGATGGATGTATACAAGGAAATTTCCATGATCTTGTAATCAGGAACACCTGTGGAGATGATTTATCAATTGTCAAATGCCTTGCAGAAGATGTCGATTTAAGGCACTTGGATCAAATTGAACAATGCTTCATAGCTGGTGGATGCGATGCGATCGATTCTACTGTGTCAGCAGTATGGTTTTCATACGAATGTAATGATCGTCAAGGACCGGTTGAAGAGTTTGCAAAAGAGGATCTAAGAAAGAGAGCCACCGAGACTAGTTCAACTTCTGAAAGTACGACGGAATCCACTACGACAACGGCTTCATCCTCGAGTACAACCGCTGCCACAACCACAACCTCCGCATCTACAACCGCATCTACAACTGCTTCGACTTCAGCCTCTTCGAGCTCTGCAGCTTCGTCCACGACTGCTACAACCGCAAGTGCCACTACCTCTACCACCGCAAGCACAACTTCTTCCTCGACATCCGGTACGACTACTAGCGCGACAAGTAGTGGAACCGGAACTTCTTCAAGCACACTAGTCTGTTCTACAACCTCATATTATTCCACAAGTGTATGCTCCTATGGTACAGGTGCATCCACTGGTGTTACCCTTGGATGTGTCACTACCTCAGCCTCATCTTCAACTTGTGCGGCAGGAGTACTTTGTACAACTGTAGCATCTGGAGAAGATGTCTGTATGAAAATTGACAATACACTTACATCATCTGGCTTAGCAGTTACAATTTTTTTCGCAGTTTCAATTAGTGCTTTCGTTATTGGACTTATAGTAATTGGATGCAAAGATCTTCAAGCCGCCACCAACTTCGAGCGGCTCGTTTGGCACAATTGGATGCAGAAAGCAAAGAGGCAATGCAAGCATATAACCAAAAGAGATCCAAATCGGTCCGACAACCAGATGCTTTTGGACATTCTGAGGCTGATTTACCTTTGATTACGGAGCCTAGCCACTAGCAAGTTTATTCGAATGTAACTCATCACAACGCTTAAATGGGAGCTTGAGTCTGACAAAATTACTGAATAATAGGATTAGATGAGGGCGCATGGGATGGAGTTTGGGGAGTTTGAAATGAATTGGATTTAAGGATCTGTTTTTTATAGGCTTCTGGCGTTGATATATTTACTATACCCTTATTTGATGATTTGCCTTGTCTATTTTATACATGCTTGCGTGATGATTGAGCCGTTTTTTGATGTTTCTGATATTTCGAAACAATATTCTATAATAGATATTCCACGACACAAGCGAGCGACTCGGAGTGCTGTGATAGAAATACTTTCCTGTAGCATTTGTTAGAAGAAACAATGTGGAAAGCCAAGGAATTCTATAATTTGACTAGCTGTTCCAAGTACATAAGTCATACTATATGCTCGATTCAACTTAATAGTCTCGTTATGCTACGACTACGCTTTACTCTGGTTATCAATATACGAATAGTAGTTAATATATCAAATGCGAATAAAAGAGTATAAATCTAAGAAGCCTTTATTTCAGTGTTAAAAGACTAGAGATAAAGCTTGTTCTTTCCTTTCACATATTTCAAATTTTTATATAATTGAATCTATAAAATGTATTATATGAATATATCACATAATCATATATAAATGGATTCCTGAGTCTTGAAAAATGAAATATATATACACTGTATAAAAAATTCCGTAAAATCCGTGCATTAAGTTTCTTCCGCTACGCTCCGAAACAAATGTATGAAGAACTAGGGCTCATTTAATCGCAAGTAAAATTTTCCAGAGTTAAGAAAAATTCTGAAGGTCATAGATCAACCTAATACTATGTCTAAGGACGTGGTGTATGATCACGTGGCGTGTGAGTCTTCGCTTATTGACAGGTTGTGCCAATATACGGATATGATTTTGATTGTCATGGCCATTATTATCACCTTCTTTAGGTACTATCTCTACTCGCGGTTTTGACGTACTTCCTGTCGTTCTATGGAATGATGAGCGTCTGGAATTAGTTTTAATTTTGCTAGTCATCCTACAGCTAAATGTATTCAGTGCTGGGAATTCCTCGTTATTATTAATGTCGTCTTTGTTACAGCTGTTCGCTGCTGATATTTGTACTGTCATTCGGATTGTAGGATTCTCTTGGTAGTACCAGACTTCTTTGGCGCTTATATCAGTGTCAATGTACATGTCAATTTGGGTCGAGAGAAAAGGACAACGGATCCAAAACAAGCTAGGAGCAAACACGACCTCGTGAGGAAGTATTATAAAGACCACGACTTGTCCGACTATCAGAGTACTTCATGTTCAATTATTCAATCCAAAATGCCTTGCAAGCACGAATATTTCAAGAGAGCGAAGTGCAGGATTTGTTCAAGGGCAAGAATAAGCAGATATTAAGTGCAAAACGTCACAAGGCATTACACTTGGCAAGACTCCTAGTCAGAAACGCATCTCGTGAAAGGTCTGAACTGGCAGAGTTACAAATTGAGGCTCGATCTATGAGATTTGGTGATGATAAAGGAAGATATAGTATCCGTTTCATGGCCGAAAAACTCGATAAACAAATTCCCAAATCCGAGGCTTATTTGAATCTTGTCAGAAAATTTACAACCCATTATATTGCTATCTATGATAAGTTGTTCTTTTTCGGAAGCTTATTTGCTACTCGACGAGTTAGCTATCGCGTGAAATGGATGGAAGAAAACAAAGTAAAGAATTCCGTGGCTACAACCAGTGCTGATCTAGACCCTTCAGACAATCAAGTGAAAGAATGCGCTATTAACTTGCATGTTAAAACATACTCTAGCTATGCCACCACACAAGAACAAGTCAGGAGATGGTTTAGGGACACTCGCCCACGAGATGTTACACGCTTTCATGCTCATTTTTGGCTGTCGCGGCTGTTACAAGCCACCGGAGCAAACTACTGACGCTGGCCATGGACATGCGTGGCAAGACGCAGCATATGAAATCGAGGTTGCATGTGACCTATTTCTATCCAATGATGTCAATTTGGGTCGATGGACTTCGTTATCACATGATGTAGAAAACCATGGAATGCCTATGCCCGAAGAAAGGTTGTTAAGAAAGTGGGACCTGATAGGACCGCATCCTTTCCAGCAGACACCAGAGGTTCCGGAATCAGCAGGAAAGACAAATAATATTACCAAGAAAATTTCTGAGCCGTCTTCTTCGAAACAAGAGCTACCTCATCGTCCAACAGGAAAATTAGGTGGTGAACACGATAAATGTGAAGGTACTAGCAGAACTGGTGAACGTGCACCTCCTCGCAAAGAAGAAAAACGGGATCCTCCTCGCAAAGATAATAGAGGTGAAAACCGTGTACCCCCTAAGAGTGGTGAGCTTGGGAAGAAGCGTGAGAAACTTGACCCCCCTAAGACTAGTGAACGTGCATCTCCTCGCAGAGATGATAGAGGTGAAAGACGTGATCCCCCTCGCTCTAAAGCGAACGAGGAAATTGGGAGTTCAAAAAATTCATCGAGGCAGAATCTGACTCCGGCTGCCGAAAATAAACCCAGTCGCAAACTCGATCCGTCTAAGAGAAGGACACCTCTTGGGTGAAGTAGAAATATAGGTGATGTGGTATAATGACAGCAAAAAATAGTACATATCTATAATGACATTGATGCCAATGTCGCAGTAGAGTCAAGATTCTTAATAGCCCGGAGGGCGGTTGATAAATCAGTAGTTTTCAAGTTTAAATGTTATTAGAACTTTCGGAAGATTTATGAAACCATTCATAGTCTCCTAGTCCGGAATGTTCGTGTTTCTGAGTAAACAAATCTCTTGTCATTCTTAATAGCGATCTTCTTGCGAGCATTCCTCAACCTGGGGAAGTGAGAGTTGGCTTTTGGAGAAATATGATCGTAACAGAATAGGGCCGACACAGTGAAAAGTTGTATGCCTGATACAGATGAAAAGGAAACGAAAATGGAAGAAACAAGAAGTCTGAATTAGTATTCAGCTGGAACAAAATGATAGATTCCGATGATTGGTCAAATCGGAATGCCAAGAAATGGCTTTTCATGAAATCATTAGGTACCAAACGATTGAAAATCCTAAGTTGCTATTTACCTCATGTGTTTCTTTGACTATTGGATGGTGTTGAATCAAAGTGTATACCGACATGATTATATATCAAAACAATAGATTACAACCTGGTACACCAGTTGTCATTGAATCAAATGCAGACGATTCTGCCATAATGCAACGTAAATAACTAAGTCGAACAAGATTTACTACCGCATTAACTCTCATGCCTACGTTATGTGATAGTCTATCTGAGAATAATCAGGTGCATAAAATCGTATATCATTCCAATCACAGCCGTATAACATGTCGTGTCTTTTCCACTCTTTGGAGAGCCAAGAGCAAGAATTTAGTTTATAGGTAGGCTGAGAATTTGGACACGTCTCAGCCGCACTGTGGTGGCACTGTGGTGATACTGTGGCTTTTTATCATCATTTTGTAGCCCCTTCTCTCATAATGAGGCTCTAATCGGTTTTTATAAGCACGCGGTGCTTTAGTTGACCTACTAGATCTCCAGTCTCTTCTCCTCGGAATAATCTTCACCCAAAATTGACCATGGATGTACAAACTCCATTTCACAGTCATCCGGCTCCGTCTTCATTTCAACGTACTGAGGAACTTCAAAATATCTCCCCTCATCCAAACTATGATAATGATAACGAAGCGCAATACTTTCTGGATATGGCTGAAACACCGCAGCCCGAAAAAACTCCTGCAGCAATCCACCAGAGGCATTCTCGTGACTCAAATGGAGCCTTTGAGTTGGGAAATCATAAGAGCCATCATTGGTGGAGGCCAATCGCTTTGATGGTTATGTGGTTACTTCTGGGCTCCTCAGTAGGCCTTGGACATCACTTTGCGTATCAAAGTCTTGACCAACAACCGCAAACCGTGTTCTCTCAATCTTGGGCACACAACCTTGGTTCCGCCGCAGCTTTTTTGGTAAAGACTTCCTTCACGCTTACCATCTTATTAGCCTTGCAAGAAGTACTTTGGTTCAGTTTCCGCAGGAGAGATATCAAAATATCGTTACTAGACAAATTGTTTACTCTGTCAAGCAATCCCTTCAGCTTTGTCCCTAGTGCATTTGCAAATGCACCGCTAGCCACTGCTTTAGCTGGTTTTGCTTGGACCATACCGATATCTGCCATACTATCTCCCGGTAGTTTAGTTGTAGGACCAATGGTTACTTTCAACGATAGCATCTGTATCGTGCCGACTTTCGCTGCATCTTCGCCTAATATAAGCTTCTATCAGATGATACCCCATGGTTCCGGTATCCAAGGGCCTAATACCGGGATTCAAAAATTAGCCAGCCAGATCTTTGCTCAAGGAGTTATTCTGGATCTAAAATCGCCTTGTGGAACTAATTGTTCATTTCAACATTCTTTCTATGGCCCTGGCTTGCAATGTGTCAACACTTCCAACCCGGCATATCTGAATGAGCAAGTGGCTAGCTACCTTTATTATAACGCCACAGACTTGACAACCTTCAATGAGGATGAGGATTCGCTCATCGAATTGTCAATTACGTACAGAAACAACTCAAAAGCAGAAGTACAAAGCGATCTTAACTATGTATCAATCCTTTGCACCGCCTACAATGCAACATACGAACTTTCTGTCAACTATACAAATGGATCACCAAAGTTTTCCCCAAGTCTCACCTATCACGAACAGCTCCAAAATCTCAATATGACAGAGTATGTGTCCCCAGGAGATTACCCATGGCATTCAAATTCTGCAACACTAGTTCGAGAAGTTTACGACAAGCATCTTAATGGTACATGGGCACAGTCACCCACGACACAGTATTCAACACCTGATACAAATATAGGAAACACAATACTTGTCGGAAATACTGTCAATGCCAACAGCGGAGCGATCTCGTCTCTCTGGTTCGTAAATAGAGACCTTCTTAATGGGATTCCAGAGCTTCTCACCAACCTAACCATTTCGACACTCGCATTTAGCCCCGAAAGCACAAGTGCAAGCTGTTCATCTTCGAAAGAAACACTAGTGTATTATTACAACCCAAATCTTCTTTTAATTACTTATTCTATCGCTTTTTGTCTTGGTTTCATTTCATTTCTAGTAGGCGTTTTTGTGCTCATGCAAACTGGCATTCGTACTGGAGATATCTTTTCTCAGATACTTGTTACAACGAGAAATCCATTTTTGGACGAAATTGCAAGAGGTCATTCTTTAAGTAGTGCGGATGCGGATTTTATGAAGGATTATAAACTCAGACTGGGTAAATTAAAACGTCCTCGTGGAGAGACTGGTGATTATAGTGATGGGGATGATGGGAGAGAGGTTGAGCATGCGGCTTTCGGGCTTGCGGAACAGGTGGATAGTTTACATTAGAATAGTTGGAATAATTTGGAAGACCTACCATTTTTACTATATTCCTTGCAGTAGTATAAAGTTAATAAGTTAATGTGCTTTGAAGAGCCTATTCTTCAACATGAGCAAGTAAAACAAATAACAGAACGAGTGCTTGATCAGGTAGATTAAATCATTTGACCCTACGCAAATCGCTCGCAGCACATAAGAGATCAGACGCCTATTATAGTACCCGAGAAAACGAAGGGTTTGCTCATTGATTCTCAATTGATTCACTGTCAATTCTTGCCCGAACATATTTCCAAGCATTGTCGCTTAAATTTATTGTTGCCCCTAAACTAAGTATGCCGAAATCCCTGATCGTCATATTGCCTCACCAATGAATCACTGCAATTTTTCCTAAAAACTGTAAAGACTTGTTTATTCATTAATGCACTCTTACACTCCGATCGGTATATTATTCCGCTTTTCTCTATTTCACAAACTCCGACTCTTTGAAGGTCATCAACTGCGTGCTTGCGAGCTGTGATAAGATGATCTCATACGAATTTTAGCAAATATTTATAGAGCATGAGTGAGAATCTATGAATTTTACGACTTAAGAAGATGGAAACTAAATTCAATCTGTTAAGTTTTAGCGTAATTTGCACCAGAGAGCCCTCAGCCTACTGAGCTAGTATTGTAACCCCATAGTGAGTGACAATCACAAAATAGAACTTTGCAAAGAACGCTCAAAATCTCTATGATTCATCCACAAGGTCACTATGAGTTTATATCTATACACTTGGAGATAAAATGCAGTTAAGCAGTGATTTCAAACCACGAATTGACATAGCCCGTAATTGTACTCCTGGACCAGGCCGATGGTCGAAATTTGCAAGGCATTCACAGTGTGAGACTGGAGGCACTCGCCTGTGGTCATTGCAATAAGGAGGAGATGTTATACAAGCCTCTTATAATATCGGAAAGTGAAGCAGAAACCCGGGAAACAAGAAACTTTAATTACGAACGGGGAGCTAGATTCAGCAAAGCGGCATTCTGTAGATTACGAGGAGGGTAGTCTTGTAAAATTATTATTGTAGCGCAGAACGACAAGGGATAGACAAAATTAGAGCTTTACGTTGTCAATGTCTCGAATTCTCGTTACTTATCAATGGCTAGCGCTGTCAATATGACTCCAATCCGAAAAGATTTGTAATATTTGCCAAATTCGAACTATCAAACTTCCACTATCGTATCGACTTCTCCCTTCCAATATTATCGAAACAAGGACTCTTGCCGGCTCATATTACCGGAGTCTCAATAGGAGCGATAATGTAGAAGATGTATCCTGTAAGCGGTCATATAAGGAGTAGAAGAAAAATCGAGAGCATAGGGAAATGGCACAAAGTCTGCTAAAAATAATGTGAAAACGAGCAAAGTTTTCTGCGGGGCTAATGATCCACTTTGCATGATGTGAGCGTTGGTATTGGAGTCCTTCAAGGGATTTAAATAAGGAATTGAATTATCTTTGCATATACCTGCTAGTCTCATGATCTGTAAATGGCTAGGACTTAAAAACCGTGGTGATTATGAGAAGTAGAAAGACATACAAATACAAATAGCGTCATCAAATCACCTTGTAGAAGCCTAGAAGACAGCGAATATCGATTGATTATAAACTGGCCACAAGGGCTTTCACTGTCCAGTGGACTCACCAGAAATCTTCAAGACGCGCACAGGATTGTTATACTGGCGGATGAAGTGTGAGACTGAAATACCGGTGACGAAGCCGGGAAACGTGAGTTTCAGCTGTCATAAGTTTGGTTTAGATGTTTTTCTGAAGAACTCTACTATTGTCAAGTTGCCATTTTACTTCTCGGTGAATATGGGGTTGGGATTATGACTAGTAGCTGTCATCTCGCCATATCCGTTGTCATAAAAAGTAGAACAGTGCTATCTTCATTCCAAGTTCGGCGATCGATAATTTGAGTAATCAAATTTCAGACGAGATACTTGTATCTTTGACTTGGAATTTAGCTCTAAGAATATATGAAATAGACGACTTCTTCTGCACACCACTTGAGAGTAGTTCTTCAATCTTAGTGGGGGAGAATTGCGCCGGATTTTGAGAGCACTACCCTACAAGAACTTCCGAGTAAGGCGCTGTGTCTCTAAGCTAACCATAAGAAGATAATAGCCCAGAAAAGAGGTCGATTTAGAGAAGTCAAATATCATCGAGTAAAGCTTCCAGTTAACGTGCTGAAGCAATCGATCGATATCTCTCGAAAACATGCAATATCATTACAGTATATTCACTCTCAAGTTTTCCGTATCAATCTTAGAGTACAGGAATGCACCCAATCATAACCACTTTGACTATAGATCTTCAGCAGAGTAGTAAATATTTAATGGGCACGTCAAGAGATTGTAAGCAGGTATCGACTGGCAGTAATCATTAGAGCTATCTAGAGATCGTCTATGTGAGCTATCTGGATAACGCCAAATGATAGCAGTTTCGTACCTCATGTCAACCCCAAAGTTCAAACGGAAACCATCCATTCTGATTTTGGTCATTTCATACTTAATCCCTAGGTCCCACCGCAAATGATTATTGTAATAGCGGATGTCCTACCAACGAAACCTTTGCTAGTTTTGGATGATATTAGAGCCCCTCTCGCCTTACTTTTTAGACCCAGATCTAGATTTCGATCTCGTCGAATGGTCTAGAGGACTCGCGGGGGCAAGGTCATCAAGAATTTCTTCAACATAAGAAGCGTCTAACGGCGAACCTAGTGATAATGGGTGATCTAAGTCTAGATCCAAGTCTGAGTTTGGGATGTACGTCCCCGAAAGGTTTGATGCGTGCTGATTCGAGATTTTTTGATCAGATATATCCGAATCATCGCTCTCATTGAAAGAGTGTCTCGAATATGATTCCACAATTCCATCCTGCTCACTTATACCAAAGATCTCCTTTATCTGCCTTATTTTCTCATCTTTCTTCTCTGTCAGCACGGTATTTGCAAATGCTTCCTTGATGGTATCCTTGTCTACACAACCTGTCTCAACTAAACTCCACGGCACCCACGCACACGCCGCCCTCGCTAGTTTCTTACTCGGTTGTCCTCCGACCTTTCGCATCCGATCCCCCACCACAATCGTTCCTACGCCCTTCCGAGAAAGGCGTTTCACCAGATCCCAAAAATCAGTATCATCCGATATCAGGATGAGCCAATCGTACAAAGTTGCCTTCCTCTGCCGCATCTTATTTGAATATGCTATGATTGCTTTGTCCGCAGCCTGCGAACTCGATTTAACGAGATTCACCACGACTCCTGCACGCCGAAGCTCAGTATCAAGTTTATACCGATCAGCAGGCCTGGTAATTCCCACAGCCGCCTCATGGTACTTGGCGCTCTTCTCCGTAGATAATTCTCTCGCCACAAACCGAGCCCTTTTTTTACCCTTCAGTTGCGCTGCTGCAGTTAACTTCTTTCCTCTTTCCTTTTCGTGGATCTTGAAATGTTTCGCCAATTCAACTTGGGTTTTCTTTTTGTTGCCACAAATACCACATACATAAGGTTCATCAGGTTTGATCTTATACTTTCTGTGCAATTTATGCTCCAGCATGTAATACTCTTTGAGTTCTTTGCGTGATTCTATGACCGAAGAAGGGACAAATGACATTCCACTTCGGTTGGCGAAGGCGGCGATATCGATGACGTTGCCAAAGCGGGAGGCAAATGAACGAAGATTTTGCGCTGCGTCGTACGGGTTGATCGAATCGAACGGTGGCTTGTTGTCCAGGTCCCATAGGACGATTACTTTTTGTTGGGGAGATTGAGCGAGATCTGTTTGTTTTTGAACATCGTCCAATGCTAATAAGACCGTTTTCTGCTCCTCAGGTGTACTGGAAGATGGTGAATGAGTGGAATGGGAGTGCCGTGCATGTATGATCAAATCCTGAAAGCGGGGGTATAAAAAAGTTAGAAATGGTTTATGGGGGAGAAAGCTCGAGGTAAAAAGATGTCTTGACTTCATCGGGAGCTTCATGATCTATTCAATGTACCCGTTAGTACCTTGTTTAAAGTAATTTACTTCCTAACTTTGTGAAATAAAGAAGCTTCTGAGGTGCACTCTCGGGGGGATGTATTCCTACAAAACACCTCACCTGCTATGGCAGTGTCAGGCCTATGAATGAGGCTCACCAGGTCTGAATCAGTGTTGTGAAATCGAAGAGATAAGGATTCAGTCCTTTGAGTGATCTGTGCGCGCGAGACCACGTGACAAATAATATCAACGATGAAGGTCAGCCAGCTAACCACTCGACCATTGATACATTGGATGTTTATCGAAGGATTTGATAGTGTTAAGAAGGATCCAATCTTTTAAGCAGACTCAAGAAAGACGAAAATAGGCATATATTCAGACACCGGCGTCGACCAAGCTCGGAAGTTATGGTGGCATGATAGAATTAGAAAAGATCAAAATCTTCTATTGGACTTGCTGCCCAGGAATAATATATCAGCCATTGGTCTCTGCCAGCCATAATTCATGCCGCAAGAAGTTTTAATTTCAAAAAGCCAAAAATTACATGAGCATATGACTTAAGATTCTGATATGTGCACACCTTCCATTCCTTCCTAACTTACATTACATGTGAGCTTGCGAAGACAACCCATTCAAGTATCTCAGAACTCTATTTACCAACTCTGGTACAGCTTCAGGACTCTGAGTCAGGTTATGTGAAGCGCCAGGAATAATAGCTGAATTCTCCTCATCGACTTTTCCATCTCCTTTCTTCACAAAACTAATCCATCGTTTTACCAGCGCCTCTTTATCGACATACTTCGGAACGTATTCATCATTCCCAGAAAATAAAATCAACAATGGGCTTCTAGCAGGCAAGCTTCCAAAAGTTTTCTTTAACTGATCGTCTGTGAGATCAGAGCTAAAGTAGTCATCATCTCCATCATGATTTGGACTTGCTAGAGAGAGCCATCTCCTCGCACACACAGGTGACCCAAAGAATCCTTCCGTGGCTTTGGAAGGTAGAATTTCCTCGCCATCTCCAGCTTCAACCATCTTCTGTGCCAGAGCTATGCCATTCTTTAAGACATCTGCATCGAGTTCCTCTCCTAAAGCTTCACGATCGCTTACTGGGGCTTGGATGATTCCTCCATCAACAGGAGCATTTGCTTCATGTCCGGGCCCTGTTAGGTATTCCATGACATCTTGACAACCAGTAGAGTGACCCATCAAGATGATTTTTCCTGATTTGATTGTTCTAAAATAAGAAACACATTTAGATAATTCTTGGGCATCTTTTTTGATGGAGGAGATACCCCATCCGATGTACGCAGAACTTAGCAAAACTTGAGCAAGACACCAATCTCCTGGCAATACATCTGCGATTGATGATGGGTATGGCACAGTGAGTAAACCATCGGATAGACCACCAATAAAGATGATGATGTTTGGTGGTGCTGTGTTCGAAGCTTTGGGTGTGTGTTCGAAAGCAGTCAGTTTAGGTGTCTATGTACCATTAGTAAAGCATTACTGCGTGGAAGTCTAGTTTTTGAAATAAACTAGCAATAAACCTTAGAATGAAACTAGCGATTTGGTTTATGGATTAGAACGAATCGTTTGAGTACATACAAATAAATGTGTGACGCCTTGCCTGTGCGCTGGGACTGTGAGAGCCATTCTGATGTAAGTATATTCTAAAATTACCTTGCTTTTTAGGTATCAAGAAGAATCAAAAACAGCAAAAATAATGTTTATAAGACTGTAAAGATATACTATGCCGTGTTCAAAGAGATATATCTGTTCGCTGCCTAATTTACAACGGCCAGCTCAAACTGGATAGTTGATACCCATTGCACACTGCAGCTTTGTGGCCAACCCTACTATCACGTGCATCGCATACAGGGGTATAACTTTACTTGTACGAAATTTATTTCGAACTTCAAATCCTCTTCTTCTCTATCCAATTTACAACAACAAGCTTCTTTACCACAATCAGCCACCCTCCCCTCCATAATATTTACAATATTCAAAATGTCACCTCATCTTCCAAACCCATCACCTCTCTTCCGCCTCCTCACTCCTCTCCTCCAATCCTTCAGATCTACCTTCCCCTCAGCAACCTCAAAAACACCCCTCAGAACCTTCACCAGCACCCCACCTATGCACAAAAAGAATCCCAATAGCAAAACCGATCCACGAGTAACGCTCATCCGCTACCATCTGCAACATCCCAAGACACCTCGCCCACTGCGATTCTCACGCATGCGTGCGCTGAGGCATTGGACTATTCATCGTGCATGGATGATATTAAGGCGAAAGCAGAGGATCGAGGAGGAGGGCGAATTATACAGGTTTGTTTCCCCGTTCCCACCTTGCTTTGACTCTTCTTGAGAATCTTCTGCATTTCAATTCCTCTTTTCTTTTTCAAATTCGAAAATTTATTCAATATGATGAAATATTCCGGATGTTAAACACATTATACTCCGAGAGCGCAAAACCCATGTGGAGATTTCCGTTGCCTTCCTTCTGATTGTCTATTCTCTCTTCAAGCCTTTTGGGGCCTGGCTTCAGCCTGCATATCTTTCCTCTCCTCTCCTCTCCAAGAAACTGACACCCACCTTCTCAGACTTCACCAATCAATGCACAACGCTATGGAAGACCTTCGCCTTCTCGACGGTTCTGGCCAGAAAGAAGCAGGTAGATTATATCGCGTTGCTCTCGAGAAGAAAGGAATTTTCGGAAAAGACGGAGTCCCAATTGAGTACGCGAGAGCACAAACCGACACACCAGCGAAAGAACCATGGAATCATGGATGGACTACTGATAAAACTACTATATAATAACTGCAAAGGTAAGACTACGAGCATTCTATTTTATTCTTTTATTTTTGTTTTGGTGGAGAGTAATATGATGATATACCTTATTCACAGACCTGTTCTGTAATCTTCTATGTGGACAAAAAAAAAGTACCAACTGCTGTCTGATTTCTCTTTATTCTACTGTTTTATTTCGGGATTAGGAGTGAAGCAATTGACTAACCATTCGGTAGGATGATGTGCCTCGGTACATGAGAGAATTTTGAAAGATGAATATTATGAAGTAATAAATATATGTTACTTGTATATCTATGGTGGTAAACCTTAATGACATGGGATGACACATGATTCGGAATAAAGACACCGAACATTCCCCAGACCCTCCGTCCCAAGGGACTGGAGTTGTGGAAGTAGATTAGAAGATGCAAAAGTAGGCAAAATAAACGCTGCGAAAGACGGAACACGACGCCGTCTATAAATTCTGTACGAAGCTACGGAAAGAAGGTCAATTCAAATAGTAATCGGGCCATACCCCCACGAGTCCGCATCAGACGGTACTTGATATGTAATTCTATGTACAATGTCGATGTCTTTTCATCTCCATCTCTCCATTTCTCAAATATGCATCGAGTCTCCATTCAATCAATATCCATGTAAAATCCGTCCAGAACCATAACCCCCTTAACTGTAACCATTAAAACCCAACGCTAATCTGCAATACAAGCAAGTGCACCAACGCATCACCGTCCACATCACTGTAGGATTATCTCTTCTGCTTTTCCTTCCAATCCGAATTTCAAGTCAACCTCCCTCTTTCCCCTTTCCAAGCCTCTCCTCATGGCTTCCAGGGATCTGTAAAATGAAATCCCGATTAATAAAGGGTAAACAGTGAACTCAAACAGGTACAAAGCTAACGGAAACCAGGCTGGAAATCCTCAAGCTATTTTCGACGAAAGGCGGAACTGCAAGTCAGACCATGTTTTTCCGATCAGTCATTTCTAAATAGCTCTATCCAGCCTTACCACCCCGAACATTTTATCATCAGTTTGGCTTGTCCTTCCCGACAAATGTACAATCGCCCGTTAGTTTTTCAGTTCCGCTGAAATTTCCAGATATCGTAGATACAATTGCCTGTGATATTGCTACGGAGTAGGTAACTTCGGACTCGTTCGTGCATTAGGGATGGTTGTGTAGATGATTCCGGTTTCGACGCGTTCCAGATATATCCTCTTTCAATTCTTTTCGTCTTGGTTCAACATATCCTCCCCACTCCAAACTCCATTCATCTTCTCTTATAGTATAACACAACATCCATTACTTTCCCCTTTTTCGAACGTCAAAAGTGCGGCTCTGGTGGCTGCTTCGAAGACATCATCCACTCCGTCGCCGGTCAACGATGAGCACTCCAAGTATTTCCTTGCGCCGATGGCCTTTGCAATATCATCTGCTTCTTTCGTTCCCACAAATTCAAGAGACTTCTTTCGCATTTCCTCTCTGGCCACGGGATCCTCTCGTAAGTCCTTCTTCAGCCCAACAAGTATTATCGGGACCCCTGGACACCGCTCGTTTGCTTCTTCGACCCACTAGCCAAGACATTAGTACTTCGTATCAATTATCTCTAGAAATTGCAATCCTACTTTGTGTTTGACGTTATCTAAAGAATCCGGAGTGTCGATTGAAAATCCTATTAAAATAACGTGGGCTTTCGAATATGCCAGAGGGCGCAATCTCTCGTAGTCTTCTTGTCCTGCCGTATCCCACAATGCCAATTGTACAGATTTTCCATCAACTCTGCAATCCGTCACATAATTTTCGAAAACTGTTGGTACCTAAAATTGGATAAGGTGTCAGCACAATTGACAGAGGCAAACGCGCAAAATTGCTAGCAAATCAACGTACATAATGCTAAAGAATAATGTTAGTAATGATTCAACAAATCATCAATCTCTGAGGATGACTTACTGTCGGAAAATAACCAAGTGTGAATACACTAAGTAATGACGTTTTCCCGCAAGCACCATCTCCAATTATGACCAATTTCCTGCACGAATGTTAATATCAAGTCTCTCAATGGCCTGCCACTTTGTCACAGCAAACGCTATCGAGACGACGCTAAAAACCACTAAGAGAAATTCGTTGCTTTGGTGATCCCAAGAGATAACGAGGCTGAGTAGGAAAACGAGTCGCCCAATGCTCACTGCAACTGAAAGCGCAATTTTTCGATAAATCATGGAAAAGTCCAACGTACCTTCGCATAACATTCTGTGCCGGCTGTTGAGCCATTGTCGCTGGATCGGATGGTATTGTAGGTATCGGATTGTTGTTGTTTATAGAGAGAAAAGGATATCGCGCAAATTAATTGAAGAGAAGACCATGCAACTATGAGGGGAAGAAACAATCGCCAAAGGGGTCGAAGGCAATTTCGTGAGGATTTTCGTGTGGATTCGAAGAAATATTATCGATACGAGGGATTGTCAGGAAATCGAAATTCTCAGAGCATTCAATTTGGAGATGACCGGATATAAGTGGTTTTGGCGTGGGATGAGTGGACCAATTGTTTGAAATGAGGTAAGACAATGGAAATCGACCCAGGTAGTGAATGAACCCTTAATAATTGTATCGTAAAGAATTGAAGAAACACAATGAGTATGAGAAGAAGGGAGATGAATCGATGCAGAAGAAGAATTGAAGTTATACGAGGTCTTGCGTTGGTATCTCCTTTTTAATTGTTGCAGGTAAAGTTTAAAGAAGAACTGGGCTCTGGGGTGGAGATTTCCGAAGCGTGAGAAGGCTGAGTCGTCGAACCGTGCACCTTTTTTTAGAGCTCTGGATTAGGTTTAGGAGAATCTGTAAAGATCTACACGAGGATCGAGGTCGCGGTTTATCAAGATGTATCTGCGTTTGGGAAGGGAAGGGAAGGGAAGTGTGAGATCATGGACGTCGAAGAAGGATGGATGAATGAATGAAGAGGAGAAGAAAGTGTTTCCAATCTTTGGCACGTTATCAAGCGAAATCCAGATCAGATAAACGGCTGGACGGGTGACGGAGCTGAAGAGGAATAAGTAGTTGGGCGAAAGGCGGGTTGAAGAGAGAAAAAAGCAATTCACAAACCTTCTGAGAATCCATGCATGTGAATGATACCCCCAGGTATGATGATGATTAACCTTAATGCAGATGAGTTAGTGGATTCAGAAGTACACACTCTCTCCCTCCGAGGTCTCTCTCTTTCTGTATCTCTATCTCTGTATGGTATGATTTATATGGAGGGTGAAGGGGCACAGCAAGGAGTGAGATACGTGAATAAGAGAAGACGCAGACTCAGACTCGACAAGAGATGAGAGACAGAAGAAAAGAGATATACGATCTAAATACCTGATACTTTGTGACGACCAAAGTAGAAGATGAAGATGAAGATGAAGATGAAGATGCAGGTCAAATTGCCGGGAGATATGTAAGAAAAGAAACTTTGACTACTTGTAAGTACCTTTGTGATACTTACTTTTCATGAACTGTTTTATACACCTGGTATGCATGTGCAATGTAGATGATGAATGATCGAGGTTCCAATCAGTTCTAGAACTTTGGAGTACATGAAGTACTTATTAAGTAGGCCATGGTAATGCTATGTAATCAATCAATCAATCCACTTAACGGATAGGGAGATGTACGTAGCTATTACTTTAAGAGGAACTAGAAGGCTTTTAGCTAATTTTTACTGTGCCTCCCTACCTTCGAGCGCAGCGAGCTAATGGGGGTTTGGGGGCTTGTTCCCATGAGAAATCGACAATTAATACTCTGATACATATCCATACAATACAATAGATCTTTGAGTACCATACGCTATGTATATATGTAAGAATCTGGGAGGGCTCATTTCTGGAATTACTAGAGGTTGGAGCGGCAGCAAACCACTTTTGCACACATATAAAATTCATAATCAGGTTGATGGATGGTTATATCTACTACTCCATCGACTAAAGCGAGGCCCCCTTTTTACAGCAAGATTTTGTAGATACTAGATAGCTACCTACTACTACCTAAGTACCCAGTCAGTCAGTCAGTCAGTCAATCAATCAATCAGGTCAACAGAAATTTGAATAATGGTCATTTAATCCGCCACGAAAGCGATAGAAACCCCATGAAAAATGACCGGTCCGCTGGCTCGTTATTTCGGAGGCTCGGGGGGCCACCGTGGAGACAGCTTATTAATTATCGGACCATTCAAAATACCAACTAGAAGTAATCGGGAAAAGCAAACGTCCCGCCCTGTCCGGAGTATATTTCGATATTTCGATAGGGATTAGATTAGAATTCGATTTAAAACCAGCCTGGCTATACTCGTAAAAGAGAGCCAATTGTCGAATGGGTGCTTGGTTGGAGTGATGAGAACAAGGATCGGGATGACATTTACCTTACACAGTACCCAGTGACGTTGTACTTTCAAGAGTATCCATTCTATTGATTCTATTCCTAGATATTCTTATTAGTCCAATAATCACCCATCTGAACGAAACAGACCTCGCACCAAAAGCTCATCATCATTTTCAATGTTCGATATCAAATCAAACGATTAAGATTTAGGACTTCAATTTGCACACTGCCAGTCAGTCACCCAGAAGCTTTGGATTTACCAAGTTCTTTCAAGAAGCTTTCCACCATTAGAACGAACATCAGCAATATTGTATTATTCTTCGCCAGACCCTTATTACTCTTGCGCCCGCCAAGTTGTCCAAAGGAAAGAGTTAAGGGTCTATTACGAGACTATCCCCTAGACCTTCGGCCGATGATACCAATATAGTTTGTATGCTGAGTAAGAATGTTAGTTAATAACTTCATAAATAGTATCGTTAATGAGGAAATTGACAAATATATAATATATATTAATTCCATTAATGTAATCTCAAATAATATAGAATTTGATTCTATCAATATGAAAATACTACATCTAGATATACCCTTCATTTCGAAAATAAAGATTTATTTCGAATCTATAAAATGTATTAATTGTAATCGAAAATTCTTTTTATAAGCTAATATTTGAGATCACAATATACTTATCCTTTTTTATTTCTACCTTCTTATTAAGATATTAAAATTGATAATAGATAAATGAATTTGTAAATATTTTAATAACATTCTGTAATAATAAAGAGGATCCATTTATATATCTCAATTTACATTGAATTTAATATTTATTAGATTCACAAATCCTGATAATTCGATTAGTCAATTAGATCCCTTTTAAGCGATGGTGTTTTGAGTTGACAGTCTAGAGGATAGAAAGAGTCTTTTCCTACTGAGAACGAGGTTAATAGAACAAAAAGAGCTGAAACTTTGATCGCATGACCGCACGATAGCTCAAGTTAAACAGTCACCATCTCTTGATTGCAGTAGATTATTCCACAAAAACACCATAAGATGGATCAAAAGCTTGAGCGATCGATCACAACTGAAGACATTCTTCAAGGATTCAGAAATTCAACAGTACAACAAACGACCTTTCAAAATGAGATCAGGAGGCCAAAAAATTATAATGAAAGTAGACCATACTCGAAGCTCTCTTAGCAATGACTCAACTAGATAAAGAATCATAGCCATGAAAGTACAAACAGAGACTCTCAAAAATGACAACGCGCTGAAATCAGAAATGTGTCAAAAGTTCCAAAGTCAGCTAGTAAATCTCAGAGAAGGGATCAACATAGAGAATGTCAATAAGAGACAAAATTTAGCTGCATAGCAAGAGGAAGTCGAGAAGAAGGACCAGGTATAAGCATTCTGGACTACCTTAGTACGGCAGTACGAAACCGAAGCAAGCGAGCTGAAGAATAGGATTGCAGAGCTCGAAAGTAGCATTGATGAATTACAGAGCAGACTGAGAACGGTGGGAGCTTCTTTGGAGGGGAACCAAAGGGTCCTGACCACTACGACGCAAGCCAAGGCAGATCTGGAGTCTCAATTGGTAGCACAACTCTCCTCCTGTTCTGCGTAAGTCAAAGTCACTCAATCACCAACATCAGGAGCATACGCAACCATCGTAGCAGGCGCATTGATGATACGCTTTGACGATAAAGAAGTATCGCGCTCTAATAGAAAGTCAACCCTTATTCTCGCGCTTTTCAGTCCTGTCACAGCGAATGTAATTACACCGAACACCTGCAATCCACCTTGGAAAATGTATTTACGCAAGAGAAGGGCTCGACGCCTTCTACACTTTTTATTCCACCAGTCATTTCCAATCCATACCCTCTCAATCGATTCACTTTGCAGCTTCATCTTTCTTACGTCCTACGACCAGCATAATTTTTAGAGCTGAGTGGAGGAGAACCAACGTGTACTTCCATGAGTCAACCCCAAGCAGCCACAGCAAATGGCAACGATGATGACTGGTATAATCAGTCAGAAGAAGCTCAATCCACTTTAAAGAATATAATTCAATGCTTCTAAGGATATTCTTGTCATCCATAGAAATCAAGTTCGAAATTCAATCTGCTAGAAACAGACCCTGAGTGATTATATCAAAAGCAATGGTTTGATTGCTTTCTGATTGAATTGTGTTTGAAGTGACATCTTCTTAGATAATTTAGTTTCAAACATATTCATTTCAGAAGTGCCTTCATCTTGGCAGCAGCGGTACATTTCTGTCCACCTTTGCTTCCTCCAATGCAGGCAGGACACGATCGGCCATGCTGAATCAAAAGAAAGTGAAGACTGAATTTATATCTAGCGGGAATCATCAGTTCAAGATGAGATTGCGTCTTCTCGCGGGTCGCAGTCGAAGGACGCCAGCCCCATAGTCCGGCGATGCGATAGACGTGGGTGTCGACGGTGAAGGGATTGCGTTTGAGACACCAACCCATGACGACCGAAGCGGATTTAGGACCAATATACGAGAAAGCCAGCAACTCCTTCATCGCTTCCTCGTCAGTCAGTTCGAACATATGATCGAGATCCCATTTGCCGTGACGCTCCTTTGCCTGTTTCAGAATCGTCATAATGATCATTGATTTTCTGATATGCAGCCCACCGCATCGAATGGTCTCCTGTAATTTATCCTTCCCACCTTCCATGATCTTCTCGTAAGCGAATATAGAGCCATACACTTTTTTCATTGAATTCATTGCTCTTTTGGCGTTACTCCAACTCGTTGCTTGACTTAATATTGCAACGATCATTGCATCCAATGCGTGTGGAATTGTCTCTGGTGTATTTTCATCTTCGAATTCTTTAGTTACTTCTTCTCCGTGCATCTCCTGTAGTACTTCATTTGCAACTTCACACTCTCTTGGCGTTGGATGTTTGAACTTGGGGAAGGGAGATTCCTCTAGAAAGGAAGAGTATGCTTTAAATTTCTGGTCTCCTGATTTGATTACATGCTTTGCTGATTCTTCGTCGCTTTCTTCGATGGTTTTGATTACCTGCTTCTGTTTCTCTTCGACTGCTGTTTCCTCTGTCTTTACTCTCTTTGCCCGCTTCACCTCCTTGCCTGTAGTCGACAGTGATCTCTTGGCTTTAGGCATTTTGATCCTAAATGGCTTTCTTGTTAATGTTAATCTGAGCAGTGATGCAATCGTATTCACCATGTGATCGTGGTAAATTGAAAGTATTATATATAGGTATGGATAGATCTGGAAGACCTCGAGGAGGTTCCTTGAATCCATAATATAACATGCCTGAGGTATGATGACTCAGCAACCTTACTTGAGATTCAATGACCTGCAAAGGTACCCGTACCACAATTTAAACTTCAAGCCCTTCCAAAATCCCCTTCTGGATTTCACGGTGCCCTCTCAATAATAACGACTTGTTTAAAATCTCCATAGCCAATAACTTCTCATACTCCCAAAATTAATTCCACGCGCACTCTCTGAATGAACCAGCCCTCATCCCCCCCACACAAATCATAATTGTTCATCCCGAAAGCAAACAATCACCTGTGGTGGGGCAATCGCGAGAACTAATCCTACAACTTTTGAGTAAGTCTGCAAGTGATATTTCAAAATAATTCAACAAATACGGCCCGTCGTTGAATTTCGTTGGTTGAGCCATATCTAAACAATCACTAGCCACGGTCGTCGCTACCCGGACCCCTCTCACCTCTATACCCCATCGGAATGCCCGCAAACCAACGAAAGAATACAAGCCAGTCCTCATACTTGCAGACTCCTAGAAACATTGCGACGCCGTTGATAAAGGATGCTGGAAAGATCGTGACTACACCGAAGAAATCTAGTACGAGCGATTCATCTGAGACATTTCCCACCATGGCACAAACTACAACGAAATCAAATGGTCAATTGCCCACTCCTCCCACAAACAATGGCGCACCTACAGTAAATCGCAAGAAGCAGAAAAGAAGGGCGAAACAGGCTGCTAGAGCTGCCGCGGAACAAGCACAAGGCTCCCAAATGAGTGGTGGACCAACTTCTGGGGACGTGAGGAGACAAATGCAGGAACTGGAAGCACGCTTTCGCGAAGCAGGGCTAGATGAACAATATGACGATGACGAACAATTCGATCCTGCGGACGATAATGCGTATTACAGTGACGAAGAGGGCGATGCGTACTCCGGTTCATATGGTCACGATGGCTCCTCGACAAACGGCTATGCGATGCCTGCAACGAACTCTTCAAGTAAGAAACAGAAGAAGAAAAAGAAGTCGAAATCTTCGCAGTCGGACCATTCAAATCACGCAAACCACGGTCCGAACGGTTCATCGCATAATCGTGTATCGCTACCTCTTCCTTTACAGTCTCCTCCGAGCATGCAAAGAGGGCCGGGTATTTCAAAGGAGAAAATTTGGAATACATCGTCACAAGAAGAACGCGAGCGGATAAAGGAATTCTGGCTATCTCTTGGAGAAGATGAGCGCAAATCGCTAGTCAAGGTGGAAAAGGATGCCGTACTCAAGAAAATGAAAGAGCAACAAAAACATTCGTGTAGTTGCACGGTCTGCGGTCGCAAACGCACTGCTATCGAAGAGGAATTGGAGGTACTTTATGATGCATACTATGAAGAGCTCGAGCAATATGCAAATCATCAAGGAGGTGACGGTCCTCCGCCGATGATGCCACCCCCACGTCGATTTGGCGCTATGAGCGGCTTGCAGCCTCCCAATCGTCTACCTCCTGTTTTTAATGGGCAGCAACCTTCAAGGGGCAGGATAGTAGAGCAACTTGGCGATGATGAGGATGAAGAGGGAGATGAGGAATACAGCGAAGACGATGGAGATGAAGATGATTTCAGCGAAGAAGAACCGGAAGAAATTCCAAGAAGTCACGCCACGGATTTTTTTAATTTTGGTAATAGTCTTACAGTACAAGGAGGAATTCTTACCGTAGCAGATGATCTACTCAAAAATGACGGGAAGAAATTCATTGAAATGATGGAGCAACTAGCCGAGCGTCGCATGGCTCGAGAGGAAGATGCGAAAGAACAGTATGCTAATGCGAATTACGGACATCCTTCAAATGGTTCCATGCATCCCCATTCCCACGGACACGTCCATAATCACCCACCGCCGCCAGAAGAAGACGAGTATGACGACGAAGAGGATGATGAAGACGAGTATGACAGCCAGGAAGAGGATTACGATGAAGAGGAAATGGTACGTGGAGGGTATTATTATTCACCATCATGTACGTACTAACATGGAACAGGATAGCATGACCGAAGAACAGCGAATGGAAGAAGGAAGACGAATGTTCCAGATATTCGCTGCTCGAATGTTTGAGCAGAGAGTTCTGACAGCTTACAAGGAAAAGGTTGCGAAAGAGCGGCAGCAGAAGCTTCTCGAGGAACTTGAAGAAGAAAGTCGAGCGGACTCGCAAAAGAAAGCCAAAAGGGCTAAAGATGCACAGAAGAAAAAGGAGAAGTTGCTTGAGAAGAAGCGCGCCATGGCCGAGGAAAAGGCTCGAAAAGACGCTGAAAGAGCAGCTGAAGAAGCTTCCCTCAGAGAAATTGAGGAGAAGAAAGCCGAGGCCCAAAGACTAAAACGAGAGGAAAATCGAAAGAAGAAAGAGGCTCAAAAAAAAGCCGATGAAGAAGAGCGCGTGCGTAAAGAAGCCGACAAGCAACGCCGACTTCAAGAACAACGAGAACGTCAGGCTGAACAAGAACGAAAACAGCGTGAGGCCAAAGAGCGAGAAAGAAAGGAGAAAGAGGAGCTAAGGCGCCAAGCATTAGAAGCGAAGGAAATTAAGGAAAAGGAGGCTAAGGAACGAAAGGAGAAGCACGAGCGAGAAAAGCGAGAAAAGGAAGCGAAGGTCAAGGCTGACAAAGAAGCTAGAGAGCTACAGAAACGTGAAGAGCTTACTGCTCAGCAAGCTGCTGTTCAAGCCGCCCAATCTGCTGCGCATGCCTCGAGACGCACAAACCAAGTACCCACACCTAACTTGAGTCATGCCTTGGCTTCACCTCATATTCCAGTCGCTATTCCCGCTGTACCGAAAGCACCGACTCCTATCAAGCTTCGGACAAATTCTCAGCAAGAAAATTACTCAATACCCAGAACTCCTTCTAGTAAATACCAGAGTATATCACCCAATTCTGTAACCCCTCTACCAAACAGTCCAGGCCCAATATGTCCGCCTGGAAAAACGCCGATACAACATCCTCTCTTACAACACCCACAGGCCACTTCTCCAATACACTCTGCGCTGAAAGGCCCTCCAGGTATCCCTCAGAGTCCATTCACTGGTATGCAGCCCATGCCAGGAGGATTTCAACCAGGAATGCCAATGGTACCTCCAGGTTTCGGCCGACCACATCATGATCCAATGTTCGGACTTCAGCAGGGAATAGGTAATCACTTTCGTCCTTTGCCCATCCCTAATGGTGGCATCCCCCCATTCCAGCCCGGATTCAATATGCATCATATGCCACAAGGCAGAGGATTCCCTATGCATGGACCACCAGGGTTTCCACAAGCTTCTCCGAACGGTATGGGTAGTATCGGCCAGCTTTTTGGTTCCCCAAAAGAAACATCCCCTTCGCAGACCCATTCCCGAAATCAGTCCGGCTCATTTGACGGATTATCATCGGCAACACAAGCCCAGCCTATCGCGAGACCAACGCCAATTGGACGACCATCTAGTATTGTTCACGGTACTCGCCGTAGTGATAAATCTAATACTGGTGAATCCGATGAAACAAGCAAACATCTTGGTAGTAGCGCTTTACTGGATGATAGTGATGAGCCCATCAGTAATGGAGTTGGCGCACGACGCTCGAGTGCAGCTCCCGGCAATCCCAGCAGACAGAACTTTTTACCACC